CATAGTTTGTTCAATTGAATCCTACACAGATTCCACCGATGCAACTTGGTATGGAAAAAAACATGAGTTCCACAATGAGCCCATCAACCCTTATCACCTTTTTGGTCAAGTTGGACACGTAATTGTTAGGTCTGCGACTAACTATCCGCCTCAAAGAATTCATATCGAACCCACACCAAGATGACGACAATTATATGACAAACGTTGTGAGTTTTAAGTATATATTGTCATTGACATGGACTAATGGCACCGAAGGCACGTTCGGCTAATATATATATAGCAAGACGAGATCATAGCAAGACTTGAACATGAAAATGATCAGATACAGCGTCGACTTGATCGTTTGTATGCAATCAAATATGCAAAAATTGAGTATTTCGATCCTGACTATACTGAGATTCAAATTTTAGAAGATCTGTTACTTCTTTCTAATCTTGAACTTTTTAATTATTTTGATTTAAGTGATGATGCATCCAATACTTTTATTCCATTCAGTTTATGTGTACTCGGTAACCGTCTATATTTTTTTCAACGTCAACCACAATATTGTTAGACTATATTTTTTACTGTCTCATGTAATAATGATATTTTGTTTAATGTATAAGTATCATTTTTCACATTTGCATGTTTTGTACACTTTTGTAGATCAAATCTCATTGTGGGATGAACTTATGACATTATTTTGGAATAGACAATTTTTTAACATATACTTGATTTTAACATGGTTAATAATTTATTTTTTAAGTTAAAACAAAAAATTAAACTAAATTAAATATGACCAAAAAACTTAACAAACTTTTACAGTGAAACGACTGACAATCATTTGAAATGACGTTTTTAGTGTGTATGAAATTTAACGGTGTTAATGGCCATTTGAATGTACTTTTTTTAAACATCATTACTAAGGACGAATTTAAGGACATCATTTAGAATGACAATTTAAACAACAATTTTATGTAGTTTCAATACGTCATTGGGAATGACGTTTTACCCAAGAAGGCTCATTTAATATGACATTTTAGTTAGAAACTGGGTTTAAAAAATAAATTTAAAACTAATTAGGTTTGAGAATAAAGTTTGGGTAGGGGTTTGCTTTGGTCAAAAGCTTGATATTTTTCATCCTTTAATCTGTTGTGTGAATTTCTGTAGAATTAGAAGATTTTTCCTAATAATTGAATTGGGTATTTTTCAACTTAGGAGAACTCATTGGAGGCCCTAGGCAATGGTTTCTTTCACAGAATGTGTCAATCCAAAGAGGATTAAACTAATTTTAGATCATGTACATATTAGGTTTAATTAATATTCGACACAAATTAGAAATAACACGACTTGAATACGCAATATAATTGGACTGAGTTGGCATATCCTTAACCAGTTAACCTAATCCCTGTTTAGACAAACTGAAGATTTCAAACCCATATCAAAGTACATATATATTTCTTCAAGACAAAAAACAAAGATACCCTAATATATATTTATAAACAGTAACATTAATTCCGTATCTACCAAGAGCATTACATCGTTAAAAACCCTATCAGACACAACACACTGCTGAAAGTTTTCCAAGTGTTTATGTACAAGTTAATCAGTTACATGATGTGCATAAAACCATATAAAGGTAGACTATAATCCTCACGAAAGCTTTAGATGGAAATGAAAATCCATACTTTACCTTCAATTTCCAGAATTCTCAGCACAGCTAAATGCAGCTTAAATTTCATATCCTGGAAACCTCGAGTTTTCAGGTACAAGCAAATCAAACCAAAGGCAAGCTGCTCCGGCAAGTCCTTGGAAAAGGGAGTAGGCATGGTCAGTTCCCCGAGAATGTCCAACGCTCATAAGCTCTTCTGCATTGTGGTACACGAAACTTGCAAACGCCTTTGCTCTCTCTATGTATATGCTCTCTCCCGTGAGACGATAAAGGGAAAGGAAGGCATAAGCATTCCCAGAAGCACCATCAGCCAGTCCCACCTTCTTCACCAACCCACTTTTCCAAACGACTTCCCCAGCTTCTATCGCAGCGTCACGAAACTCTCTATCACATGAAAACACCTGCCAAAACAGATGCAAAATTGATTTAGTCTAAATAATTAGCACATATGCTAATCGATTAAATCCCACCGATGAAACAAAAATCCTATCAAAGATCAAAAGTAAATGGGCCCTTAAAACTTAATGACTAATGTGCGAGCCATAATGGAACTTATGAGGCATGAAGTATAATCTATCGATTCCATAATGTGTGTGATGAATGCATGTCCTATGGCAGGGGTAATCTTGCAATCTCTAAGAAAAGAATTCAGAGTTACGTTAGGTATTTGAATAATTGATCAATCTAAAATATTGTTTACATGCTTATATCTGCATATTTCACAGCAGAGTTAATTATGTGATGTCTCAGAAGGATTTCTCAAGAATTACACCAGGAAATTTTATTTAAATTAGCTTTCAGGCCAAAAACAAAGACGCCAAGAAGTAGGCATTGGTAACAGAGTTGCTCGGAAAATTATTTAAATTAGCTTTCAGGCCAAAAACAAAGATGCCAAGAAGTAGGCATTGGTAACAGAGTTGCTCAGAAATTTTATTTAAATTAGCTTTCAGGCCAAAAACAAAGACGCCAAGAAGTAGGCATTGGTAACAGAGTTGCTCCGATGTTCTGAAATAAACTCCTATAATTTAGAATCTATGCATTCACAAATAGTACATTATCAAATCTGATCAACGGTGGAAAAATTCAACCATACCATGAGCTTGGCAATATTGTTAATATCTCTGCCTACCTTACTCCTTTCTCTGTTTTTTTAGGAGTAAAGAGAGAAAAGGGAGGGAGAAAGAGGTTGGGGGGGGGGGGGGGGGGG